TCTTCCTCTATACAAACTTTGTAATACACAGAATTTCCACAGTCAATACGTTTTCTCGTCACTTTACTTAACAACCCTCCTAACACACGCTATAAATCACAGTGATTCACACACTTTACTTACGGTGCCTACTGTTCGCTTGACTCAATTTGCATTCTTTGCCAGGCTTATATATATACTAAAAAAGAGGGCATCTAGATCACACTCGAGCTGGTGGGCAAATTCATGATGATTCGAGAAACTCCAGCGCGCATGCTCCCAGCGTCGCATGACTTCCGCTGTCGTAACAATATATATATATGTGTGTAAAATGTTGTGAGCAGAGCACAGACAGCCCTTTGTGTGGCTTTGTGCATAACAACAACAAGTTTTCTTTCAGAATTTAAAAATATTTTAGAATAAAGTTAAAAATATATTTCATTAAACCAATCGAGCAACCTGTCGAACGTTTTGGAGCACTTGAAGATAAAACACGGTTTTATTACATGTGCAACAGTGTTTATCTGTGTATAACAGCAACACTGTTGTTACTCGTGATATTAATCTCCCTCCCCCTCCGATGTTATTAACGCTAACAATCGTGTTTCGATACACACGGTGGCCAGATCACATATAACCTAGCCTGTCGTGTAGCTTTGCGCTTAACAACAAACACAATGAATCATTACCATGTTTAGACGTTCAACAATAAAGAATATTATTCTTGAGAATATTACAATGTTATTTTTATTTACTTGAAACACGGTAACGTTCGGACCGTTCTTATTTGCTTGTTTGTTGTTAAGCACAGAGCTACACAACGGGCTGTCTATGCTGTGCCCTCCACGGGTATCGAAACTCGATATTTAGCGATATAAGTCGTAAGATTTGCCGCTTTGCCACAAGAGGGCTAAAACGGTTCTGTTTACTTGTCTTTAAAAAACCAAGCTACACATTGGGCTATTTGTGCTGTATCCACAAATGGTATCGAACCCGAATTTTAGTCCTCATGCATGCCACAGGGGGTGGTAAAGAAAAGGAATATGGTCGTTCTTCAATCACAACATTTTGTTTTCTTCTGAAGTCGTCTCAGTACTATCTTATCTAAGCGAGATTAAGGCCCTCGGATTGACGTCTTTCTATATCAAAACAGAGGTCGTTTGTGTAATTTTTATCAGCCTGTTCTAGATATAATTATTTGCCGACGTGATAGTTTTGGAGGAACAACCTAGATAAAACGTACTTCTTCTTTCAGATATTAGGGATCAAAGATGAGTTTGGATCAATAAGAGTTACTGTTGATGTTAAGAGTTTTTGTGATTGACACAATTAACAAACAAATATAGCTGCAGCTCGATAAAGTATGAAATTAATACAGAGAAATTGTTAAAATCGTTGTAGGAGAAAAGATAACGTGTCCAGAGCTTCGGATAAAGGACCATCAACACTGACAACGTAAGAATAATAGAGCCAGGAATGGCTCAGTGGGTAGCATTCCGAGCTGCGTTACAGTTCCAAGTATCGCCACTAGATGGCGCTAAGTATATCCTATACTCTACTGTCAGTGACAGTTGTTCGGCTCTTGTGTCAGCGGGTAACGCCAGCTTAATGGGGCTCCTGCCCTCTGGTCACTAGTTAATTAAAACAACATCTGAACCCTAGGAGTCTCTGACCTGACTGTTTAGTCCATGTGAGCGTGAGATCTCATAGGGGTTGAAATTCCATTAATCAGCATGTAGATTGACTTTTGACCTACATTGTCTCTCGGTAGAAAAAAAAACTTCCTATGACAACTGAACGACGTCAGTTCTATAAAATGTAAGAACAACACATGTCTGTATAATATATTAAGGTACTCAAATTGTTACCACACGTAAGAAACGAAATTTACCTTTCTCTCACTTTCTCTGGAGGAGATTTTAATGTATATTGGAGAGGGAAAGAGTATAAACTTTGGACCTTATGATCCGCATCCCAACACTTTCATCACTAGGTCACACTTGGGAGTATGCCATCGCTAATGTAGTAATAAGTCATCTAATCTTGTAAGCTTCAATGCTTGCTACTGAGACGGGGTGGGGCCATAAATATTGATTAAGAATAGTTCCCAGTGATCATCATGGTGACTAACCATTAACTGTTGTATGTTTAATTTGAGTTGAATCTTCCTTAATTGGTAACGTCACGTTATAACCAACAGTCCAAACTATTAGTAATACATTTAACACGTTATCTAAAAGTAAGATTTTTTTTTTATTTATAAAAAGACGTCCTAAAAAGGAAACAACTACCACAATTGGTCTGGTATTGTCAAGTTTTATTTATCGTTTCATAAAATTCAATACAATTTTTATGAACACTTCTTTTAATCAGAAAAGAAACAAATATTAATCACAAGTCGTTTCTAGAAGTGAAGGATAAAATAATTTCCAAAAAGCGCACTGTTGGGCCCTAGGACCTCTTTCAATAGTACTGGCTTGAGTGTTCAACGTAAGGTAATGATGCCATTTGGAAGTGTATCTTGGCCAGTGCGTTGCCTTGTTCATATCTTTGGAGATGATAGAGGGGTCGCTGAAGGTAATAAAATAAGAATTAATAGCATGCATGAAATTCATTTTGGTAAAATCATATTTCTATGCTAATTTTTGTGTTTGAAAATAATAGTGTTACGTTAAGTTTTGGTTGATTGTTTGCTTGTTTTGAATTTCGCGCTATGCCACACGAGGGCTATCTGTGCTAGCTATCCCTAATTTAGCAGTGTAAGACTAGAGGGAAGGCGGCCAGTCATCACCACCCACCGCCAACTCTTGGGGTACTCTTTAACCAACGAATAGTTGGATTAACCGTCACATTACAACGCCCC